AGTTGGTATGGAAAATTAAATAGCATGAAAAAATTATATTTTGTAAAGTTACCGATGAACCCTTTTTTTATTTTCTACGAACAACGTTTTAGACAGATAATCCGTGAAAAATATTTGTCCAAAACATCATAATTTTTCCACGAAAAAAATTCGTGGATAATATCCATCTAAAATTTCAGACGAAAAAAATTTGTGGGTAATATTCGTCAAAATTGTTTATGTTTCAGACAGACACATATTCGTCGGAAAAATCCGTCGGTAATGTCATTTTTCAAATGGGTATTTATCCATAGGAAAAAGTCTGTCGATAATGAGTGTTTTTTTTTGTAGTGGGCATGTTACAATTCAACACCACAAATCACAAAAATCACCAAAATATGTAGTCATACAACATTACTCAAACTAGAACAACAACAATCACATTAAACACATACAAAAAGAAACCTAAAGAAACTTGGGGATCGTCTCACTACCCGTAGTCCTTACCTCAAATAACAATCCTTAGGGTGAAAGGCACCTTAGTGGTCTGGAGGCTAATCCACACACTCCTTAAAGTTCTCCTCTACATGTTCTCTTAGAGATTCAAAAACTCTAAAACTAACTAATGTGGCCTAACCATTTTCCTCTCTACATTAATAAGCTAACTCTGGGTTGGGGTTTAAAAGTCCAAACCCAAAGGATAACCCACTAACCCACGTCTATCTTATTTTATTTATTTAAGAAAACATCCACTACTTATATTATAAGCTCAAAAAATAAATTAATTAAGTACATAATAAATAGTATTAAAGCAACTTTATTTTATTTATTTTTTTAAAAATTAGGATGTTACACGTCTCAACCAGAATTGTGACTTCTCGAGTAACCTGATTCCATCCACCGCATTTTGATCTCTTTGACCATTCTAGAGTTCACCACAAATCTCCAACAATATTTTGTTACAAATCCATAGGGAAAACAATTAGTGGAAAATAACTTGTTCAATGATGCAAAAATAAAAAATTTCATTTCACCATTAAGTTACTCTACTAGGATAACAAGATCTACAAACCTGCATTTCAAAACCAACGGTCTCAACTAATCCACGAGTATCATAGTACTCTTTCCGATGGACACTCAAGGTTGAAACTAACCCTAGCCCGCATCGCGACATACTTACTTTGGCCTAACATGTACATATACACAAAAGTTCATCAAATACTACAAAGTTTGCCAACATAACAAAAATCATACCAAAAAGCCATAAGGTTAACCTCATCCAACACTTGAAAAGGCCTAGGAAGACATTACAACTAACTTTATCACTCAATTTCCCTTTTCCTTCAATCACACCACTATTTGGGTTCTTTGTGACAGAAAGATTGCGCACTTTATAACTCTCCCTACACACTTCTCTATCATCCAACTCGTGACATGTTTTGCTTTGTACATTTACTGCCTCCATGATCCTCCAAAATCCATTATTTCGGATCGTGATCCCCTATTCATAAGTAAATACTAGCACGAATATTTTAGACTACAAGGAACTACCTTAAAATACTCAACAACTTACCATCCCTAAATTGACGAATAGTTCAAGGTGGTTAATTATAGCATAGAGGCTAACTTGTATTGTTTCATGAGTTACCACTCTCATCTTTGGTTCAAGTACCTCCACTAGGTGAAGTATTGGTGTAATACAAAGTTATCACCTTATCACACAAATGACACCTTTTAAGGCGTTGTACTACCAAGATCCTTTCATAGTTTGTGATTATATTTTTGTCTCTACTTTTATTCCAACTTTGAACATTTCCTTGCAAGGAAGGGACATGATTATTAGATATTTAAAGGAGAACCATACACATAAAAAACAAAGAATAGGGTTTTTCATAAACTTAAAGCATTTGGATATTACCTTTGAAACTAACTTTTGGGCTTTACCCAAGTTTCAACCTTATAAGCAAAAATCCTTCATGAATTGCTCATCTTAGAAGCTTTCACCCTGATTTTTCAACCATTTTTAGATCATTTGCTAGATCGGTAAGGTTGCTTACGAACTGAAGCTTCCTCCTTCCACTCGTACCCACCTTGTGTTCCATGTATCCATCTTATGTCTTTTCATGGTGACTCTCCAAACCTTCATTACCAACCCTTTCCCCCATAGACTAATAAAGACAACATAGATCTCTCTCCTTTTTCCCAAGACTCAAATGCGACATCTACCCCCAAGCCCAAACTCTTAACTTCTCACAAGGACTCTTACAAGCCATCAGATCCTCACTCAAATCCTAGATCTTCATTTGCTTTGTTGATTCAAAATAAACACATTGAAAGCCCTCAACTCCTTGTGTTAGAAAATGTGTCAAACACTTCATATCCATCATTAAACATACATAACCCTTTGGTCCACTCAACCATCCTTGTCTCATCGACTTCTATTGCTTTGGCACCATTGGATTGTCCAAGTTATTAATCCAACTTATCTCAACTATTTACAACAAACACACTTGTTCCTTCAATTACACAAACAAACAAGCAACATGTCTATTGGGATGATTGGATTGTTTGGGCCATCTATTTCATTAGTTGGGCCACCTAACCTTGCAGAAAGGGTTCTTTTTCCACCAAGGGTATTGATAGCAAGAAAACCCAAGTCTAAAGGGCCAAGTGCCCGACTAAGCCTCCTCAATGGCTAGAACATCATGTTTAACATTCTTATTTGTTTTGTACCATATTTGGCCACTTGTATGGTTTAGATTAGTTGTCTATTATGTTTTATCTTTTAAAAGAAAGTTATGTAGTTGTGATCAACATGATGAATGAAATCTTAATTGTTTTCCTTATCTAGTGTAGCCTAATATTTTAAAAGACAAAACATAATGGATGATTAGTCTAGACCATACAATTGGCAAGATATGCTACCAAATAAATAAGAACATTAAACGTAATCTTCTAGCCGTTGATGAAGCTTGTGAAAACAAATAAGAGCGTTAAACATAATCTATAGCCATTTAGGATGTTTGGTCATGTGTTTAGGCATTTGGACTTGGGCTAACCCACTATCATACAATCTTTGTAAATTATCTTATTCTCGTGTGAAAAAGACAAGTGAGTAGGGATGACAAGTAAATTTATACTTGTGGATAATGCTGACTTTGACGAAAAATATTCGATTGTATCATGCACAAGTATGTGTATGAGTATGGATAATACGGAATTTATTGAATTGGATATGGGGACGGGGATAAGTATATACATATTCATCTCGTACTCACACCCATACTCACTTTAAATTTCTAAAAATTTAATTAATTTTTTTATAATTTATTTAACATTTATGTAATTCTTACTCTATTTTAAAGTTATTTTAAATGAAATTTTTAGTTAATGTAATTTTGTAATTATTACTTTATGTTAACTTTTTGTAAAAAAATAATTAATTTTTAAGTAAGTACAAATATACCTAATACTTAATAAGAAAGGATGCATATTTCATGTGTTTACCTAACGTATACAAAGACTAGAGTAGAGCAGATATAAAGTACAAAAATAAAAACAAAAATATTAAAATCCATATACATCCCACCCGTTTGCCATCTTAAGTAAATTCAAGGATAGCTTCTAACCCACGAACACCCAAACTATTCGAATTTTAGAAGATGAGGTATTGCATTATTCTTAAAACGTTATACCATTCATGATTCATCTCCATAAAACTTACAAAAATGGTTCAGGTTGCATTGATTTGGAAATCAAGCACCAAATGTTTACAATAATTACAGTATAGTAATTAAAAGATCACATTTATTTACTTGATTTGTCCAAGCCCCACCGATACATTTTGCGTTGAAATGCCACGGATGATATATATCCAACTCCGTAAACGACATGAAAGAAAATAGTGATTATTTATCTGCAACGTAAATAATTTTATGACTTAAATATTTTTAATCTCTCAAATTTAAGATGAATTTATTTTTAATTTTTTTAAATTTAAATTTATTTTTTAAATTTTTATAATTTTAAAAAGTTTTATTTTAATTTTTATACTTAAATTTTATTAAAAAATATTATCAAATATTTAACAAATAAAATCTACATACTGATATTTTTATTAGTACAAGTATTATATTAAATTTAATTGATATTATATAATTATTTCATTTCTCACTTTTAGATATATTATAAATATTAAAATAATTTTATTTTAAATTATAAGAACTAAAAATAATAATTTTATATTTAAGAGATATTATATTAATGTCTTTATTAGTACAAGTATTATATTAAATTTAATTAATATTATATAATTATTTCAATTTCTTATTTTTAGATATATTATAAATACTAAAATAATTTTTATTTTAAAATATAAGAACTAAAAATAATAATTTTACATTTAAGAGATTAAAAATAAATTTACCTTAAATTATTAAAACTAATTTTATTTTATATTTTTGAGGACTGTACTTGGTCGTAGTATATTATATATTATTCTTTACAAATGCATGTAGGAGACCATTTAGGCGAGTACAACAGAAAACGATCTGTTTCCACTTTCCACGTTTCTAATTAGTAATAAGGAGATTAAGCATCCTAGAGTTTTAATCAAGCAAACTTGAGAGTGATTTAATTCATAATTAAGTTTTAATCTATTATCTATCATCTATTATTCTATTATTCTACTAAAGGAAATTGAAATTTTTGTAATACCATATACATAATTTTCATCCAATTTTATCCTTTATCTACTATTTTATAAATCACATAATTTTATTTTATTTTTCTATAAATTTCATTTAATAATTGCCTTTTTTTAATAATTACTCATCATTATATAATTTATTATCTATCATATTTTAAAAATAATAGACAAGAAGAGTCTTTTACGCTAGTATTCGATAATTCTAATAACCAAAGAAAAGGGGGGAATCTGGCTTCCTTGATGAATGGGATTATTAATATTAACTATCGACTCGATTGTTAGGATAGAAAGGAACACAAGGGACCCATTATCATGACACAAAGCACACCAAACCAAGTTGCGAATCATGATGCGGATTTTATACGCAAATCAGAATGATATTTGCTAATAGAACATAACAGTTCTTCGTTACCAGAAATTACAACCTCTAAATTTAAGTATGGGTTAGCCAAAAGGTATTTACGATATGCATCAGATATTATAATATGATATGATTCAATAATGACACAAACTTGAACGATTGACAAGAGCACAAAGCTAGGTCTCAATTTTCACCAACAATCTCATCCTTATAGTGTTTTCCGCACCCAAACCATCTTCTCTGTATTCTGCGCCACAACCTTAGAGTGTTGGCAGTAACCGCTTCCGTTACGATAGCCAAGATTCCCTCTACTGTTATACTTCCTCTGATATTGTGAGTGGCCAAAACGGTTGTTCCTTTTTCCCAATTCTCCGTTCTGTTTACCGTTTTCTGACTTCATAGGTAAAATCCTAACTCTCTGTTCAACCTCCTTCGTTGTTGCCGAATCACCGTTCTTCGTTTTTCCCGATCCTCCGTTATCTTTACCATTTCCTGAGTTCAAAGGTGAAACCCTAACTTTCTGTTGAACCTCCTCCATTGTTGCCGAACCACCGTTGTTCGATTTTCCTAATCCTCTGTTCTGTTTACCGTTTCCCGAGCTCACCGGTAAAACCCTAACTCTCTGTTGAACTTGAACCTCCTCCGTTGTGGCCATATCACCGTTGTTCGTTTTTCCTAATCCTCCGTTACGCTTAGCGTTTCTTGAGTTCACCGATAAAACCCTAACTCTCTGTTCAACCTCCGAACCACCTTTGTTCTCATTCAACTCGCTCTGGATTGTGGCTTTCTCCGCCTCTTTGTTCCCCTGCGCTGCAGCGGAACCTTCTCCACTCGCTCCTCCCTCCTCCGTCTTAGCTTCCGGCTTCACTTTCCGATTCTTCTTCTTTTTCTTCGATTCGCTGACTTTTCCGTCGAGTTCGACGGTTGCGTTTCCGGCGGCAGACTCCGAGTTGCGGTGAGTAGCGGAATCGTTCCGAGTCTTGACGACACAGTGCTTCTGAGGAAGAGACCTAGAAGCGGTTCCGCTAGTGGAAGCGACTACTACCTTATGGTGGTTCTGGTTCTGGTTTGGAGGTAGCGGTTTCTCTTCTTCTTGGTTGGTTTGGGCTTGTTGCTTGAGCCATCGCTCTTGGAGTTGAGCGAGAGTGACATAGTTGGAAGGTAAAGAAGCTTGATTTTTTCTCTTCTCCATTGATACACTCTCACACACACGCTCTGTTCAAGTTATTTGATTTATTTATTTATTTATGCTTTACTCCTTTGCTGATCTGGCTGGCTATCATTGCAATTTGGAAACACCAGTAAAGCGGTCCACTCGAAACCGTAACTTCCAGGATAAGTTAATTGAAAATTAAAAAGCAACTTGCACTATTTTGTTTATTATTGAAGAAAAAGAAAAAATGGAATAATTTTTTCTTCTCTAAGTTACAGATTAAAAAAAATTGTTGCACAAAAAAGAAGATATGAATAGAATACTCAAATTGCAAAAAAAAAAATGGTTCGTAAACACTAATCTTTCTAAGGTTCTATATGTCTATGATGATCTCTATTGTAATAGGATAATTTACATAATTTTGTTTTTTTTTCCAAAAAAAATAGTTCTATTTATATATTCTCATTTCATTGTATTGGAACTTTTTTAAAGAAAGTACACATAATATTCGATGAAAAACAATATTTGATAACTTTTGACAAGGAGTAACATTTTGTAACTTTTGATAAAGACGCGTTCTTTCATGCTTGCATTTTTATGAATAAATACATAATTTCATATAAAAAATGTTTTTATAAAAAATAAATATGATATTTCATTATTTAAAAAACCTCACGTAATCCCTGAATATTTTAAAAATATATTCAAATCTCATTATCAGAAATAAAAATTAGTTATTACAATAACTAAATAAGTTAAAATAAAATAATAACTAAATATAAAATAAAAATACACAATTCATTAAAATACAACTTAATTCTTAAACTTCTTTTTCTTTACCCATGTGATTTATGATATATATATATATATATAGAATTGAAATGCAATTAATATCTTATTAATGATATATTTAAAATTCTACAATACTTAAATATGTTTTTAAAACATGAAAAATTAGAAAATTTTGGGTTTGGTTATTATAATTTTTTTAATAAAAACTTGAAATTATTATAGTTTGTTTATACTATTATGTGACATTTGTTAGTTATTTATGTATTTACAAAATGTTAAGTGATACTCATTAGTATTTGTGATGTCAAAATGTGATATATATATATATATATATATATATATATATTTTTGATTTTTAAAATAATATTATTTATGCACCTTAAGCAGGATGTAAAGAACTAAACTTAATAATTTTAAATTTTAAAAAATGAAAAATAAAATGAGAAAAAATATAAATTAAAATTAATATTAACTCATTTTATAATAATTAAAAATCTTTATCTTTAATTTTAGATGATAATAAATAGATATTTTTTAAATAATTAAAATAAAACTTACTCATTTTATATGAACTAAAAATATATGTAAATCAATTTTTAATAATAAGTAAGTGAATTATCCCAATGAAGATAAGTGATAAGGATTTAAAATATTTTTTCTTTATTTTGAAGAGATGATGGATAAAGATTTTTTTTTTTTCACAATGAGAATGGAGAACAAGTGGGCCAATCCTCCCTCTATGACTCTAGGAAAAGTTGTTTGGGAAGGCATCTCAACCTTTTCAAGTTTGAAACCTAATCAAAGACAATGCTATGCACATTGAATTGGTGGGAGGTAATGTGACACCTTTCTACCACAAAAGATTTAATAACTAAAATATAACAAATTTTTTAGAAAGTAAAAATAAATTATAATAATTATTTTCATAAAACTTGTAAAAGGATTCACATCCATAATCATTATTTAAACCATAAAAAACTTATTAAACATTATTTAATAAAAACTAAGAACAACCTCTAAAATCAAATAAGTTCTAATAATAAAACAAACTTAAAAAGAAATCCAACTCAACACAATCATTTATTCTAAAACTCAACCTTGATGTCATATTATCAGAGCAAGACCCCTATTTATGGTTCTCCTTCCTCAAACTCATCATCTTATACATGTACTATTCTTACAAATGACGTTCATCCCAAGCACAAACAATACAAATACAAAAAGTGAGAATACATCTCACTCGTCACAACATATACAAAGCATAAGGATAAATACCGACACATCAAACAAAAACTACATCTCATAACCTTTATTAATCCTCCTGTACAATATTAGTAATAGTTTAATATACCATATTTCATTTATCACCATCATTCCATCAATCACAAACATAACATATTTATCAATTAAGACTCATGAGATGTATGCTCCTTACCCTATATACACGTCGTACCAATCTTCTCATCATCATTGAGTATACAAAATAGCCTAGGAGTAATGGAACGATACATAAACTCACACTATCCCACAAAACAAAGTATGAATGCATGGACTCAACAATCACGTCACAACAACACAATATGTAATGACTCATTTCTTTGCTTGTCAGTTTGCAACACTAGATTTATCCATCTCATCTCATCACATTACTCATACTAATTTAACACATCATACATCTTTGTTATTTTTCATATAGTAACATATTCACACAACGTAATATTATACATTACTATTACTCATTATTCATTCGTCACATACTATAACATTCTTCATTATAACATCATTATCATAACATTGAACCTTAAACATCATAAAATTATATATTATCATTACTTGTATAACATATAGGAACTTAAGGAATAAAACAACTCACCAATATAACTCACAAATTATTTATTCTTAAGCTTCTATAACATTGTATGGTCTAAGTGCGTTATCTAAAGATGTACCTATGTTATCAAGTTGATATTAATTTTATTAGAAAGCTAAAATAATTATCTACAACTTTTATGTTGACTTCAAGAGATAATTTTATCATTTACTATTTTTAAAATTACAAAAATGTGGTATTTAAGCCTAACTTTGATAGTTTGACGTTTGCTCGCTAATGTGATCATAGCCTTGGGTGATTCTAGTGTCATCAAAAAACTGACATCCTAGCCTACAACTTATATGAATAACACAAAACATAATTTGGTCATATAAGGGCTCTTGTAATGCTTGTAAATGTCAAATGTTATGTTTCATGCACAAAATGTGAGACTCATCTTATAACTCACTCGTTCTTAACATTTTTATGTAATTCTTATGTCTAAACTATAGTCTCAAATGTCTACTTTTCAACCTAACAAATGAAACCTTATTTGATTAATCTCATAGAGAACATTCATTTAAATACCAAGATGTGTTTGTAGCAGAATTTTGAAAAACAAACAAATCACACTAAATCTCTAAATCATACACTCAAAACCCCCAAAATTCATACATAATAACCTTAACCCCTAAAATGCACTATCTCAATATCAATTTAATCAATAGAAAGCAATAGGAATCATAACATATAACAATAATATAATTTCAATCAATTTCATACTCAAAAAACTCCTCTCAAACAAACAACCTAAGAGGCTTAAGGTTCGCCTTTATATCCTTATCCCTCATACATGCTTAGGACTTGATAATTCCCCTCTTGTTATCTAGAGTGATGATTCTCAAGAATCAATGCTCCTCTTGTAGCTTCTACTATCAATTTGCATTTTCGCCTATGACCACCTCTATTTCTCCTCTTTTGAGCTCTTAAGGTTTCAAGATACGCGCAAAATGACCTACTCCTTTCTAGCCTTTCCTATTTGAATTATCTTCCAAGTTGGGCTCAAAATCGAGTCCAAAAACTTTCAATGAGCTCTTTTTTCCTTTTATTTTATTAATAAAATAATTTTCTTTTTATATCTAATTATTTTAATTTATTTCTTATTTATTTTAGAAACGTAGGATGTTACAGGTAACCGTCTCCTTCCAAGATTTAAAATTGCACCATAAATCCTAAACCATAAAAGCCTAATCAAACCCTAAACTCAAGTATGAAGAATTGTGCTCACCATGGAAGAAGTATCTCATAGTTAAACTCCATAGGGTTTCTAACCATGAAGGACGGGTTGCAAAACATTTGGAAACCTAATAGAGGATTTAACATCATATATGTGTCAAATGGATTCTTCTTGGTGAACTTTGATCTAGAAAAAGATCGGGAAAAACTGATAACTGGAGACCCTTAGATGATCTTTGATCATTACCTCATAGTTCGACAATGGGATCTAGAATTTTTGGCATTAGATTTGAAAGTGGACAAGACTCTCGTCTGTGTAAGGTTTCTTGGGTTAGGGATGGTATACTACAATGAAAGTGTTCTTGTCACCACTATATTCGCCATTGGAAGACCTTTAAAGCTAATTTGAACACATTAAACATGCACAGGGGTAGGTTTGCTCGAGTTCGCTTAGAGATTGACCTTAACATTCTTGTCATAGGTAAAAACTGTATTAATGAGAGATGGCATAATATTGAGTATGAAGGTCTACACATACTTTGTACAAAGTGTGGATGTTATGGCCATCTTGCAAGAAATTGCTTGAATATTAAACCTGAGTAAAAAAGTGATAGTATAGGCAAAATAGATAATCCTTCAACAAATGTAGGAGAGAAAATTAAAACTCAAAAAAAGGTTCCAAATATAGTGGAGAACATAGGGAATATTAATCAAATGTATGCTGCCTCCTTTGAAAGTGTGTATGTAGAGTGACTCATCATGAATAAAATAAAAATTGAAACCACCCATGGAGAAGCAAAAGATAAACTCTGGGAGGAATCAGAAGGAGACCGTTCAAGAAGAGGATAAAAAGTAACAACAATACTTTCTTAGCCTCAAAAGTCATCATCTTGGATGGGAAATAATTCCCTTTACTAGTGGATCTAGTATGAGGTAGCAAGCCAAAACTAATAGGTGCTTAGAGGGGAGGGAATGGATTGAAGACTACACTTAATCTAACACCAATGGGGGATCTAAGGTATTTATTGCATCATGAAGATGAATCGCCAAGGAAGTATGATATGGTTGAAGTTAATAACTTACATATGGAAACTACTTATCTTGAGAAAGACAAAGATGGGATGTGTATGTATGATTCTTTATTGGATCAACATAGTGAGCCCCATTTAAAGAGGTAATCAGTGTTATGTATCATTAATGCTTCTTTTATAAATGTGTGTATGTGTGCATCTGTGTATGTATATCACTTTATTTATTCATGATGAACAAGTTAAAA